GAAGACTAATCAACTTCTTCAGAATACATAGCAATCATGCTTCGGGTTAATTCTTCGGGACTAGAGTTTAAAGGTGGATAATTAGAAGTTGAAGCATTGCTTATGTATTTTGGGACCACGGTTTAAGTAATGTCTGGGTTAGTAATAGAGTACTAGGGACCTAATCAAAATATAGCATCAGTTCATGAAGACTGACAATTGGATTAGACCATGTTGATAGATGTACACTACCTTGGTTAGGGTCCGGGTGATCATTGTAACCAATGGTTAGAGATATGGCTCAAAACAGTTTGCGATGGAGCAGGTGCATCCGTTTTTTGTTTTCCATCAAATCCTGAGATTCTAAATTACATTAAATTTTCGCCAATTCATATCTTTGGTGCCTAATCTTTTCTATCACCACAGATGCTGAGGTAAAAGATTTATCATCATTAGCTACAAATTTACTCATTAATGATGGTCAGTTCTGTTTATATTGAAAGAAGAATATTCACTGAACATAGGATATCGCTTATAGCCACATGCATAATTTCATCTTCGTGTTTGTTAACAACGAATGTGATATTAGTCTCTTGAACTAATGATCCTACATAACATTTACTTCATTTAGATTGTAGAATAACTTATTGTCTTACATTCTATTTCAACGTGGTTATTCACCTTCATTCAACTGCTATTTACATCATTTTACCATAACTGTTTAGAATTAGTTAATCCGATGAACTCAATCAATTTCTGTGCCGATAGATACATATAATGAACCAGCTAACTGTAGTTAAAGAGTAATTATAACATTCAACACATACACACATATGTACCGCAGTTATATGAGTTTGACCTTGACAGTGGATTCATTAAATGAGCAAAGAATCAAATAAAATTCATGAAAAAGGTACATACTAAGTGAACTGATTATTTATCATTTTCTCCAAGGTCAATCGTTGTAAACAAAAAGTTATGCAATAAACAATTACATTGTGTTTACGTCTTGTCTAAATGACAACTAATTATGCATATATATATATAACATCACAGTTATATATACGTAAATAATAAATAATAACGTAAATGAAATTTCAGACTTTGCAAACAGATACTTATTTATGTTGCAAATATTTTTCAGACAACTTAAAGAATGTTAGACCAACATTGAAAACATGGAAGTACTGGATGTCCGTTCGGTGGGACACATACATTCACGATCCCACATGTGGGGCTCGAACTCAAGATATTCGGTCTCGCGTGCGAAAGCTTAACCTTTAGACCATTGAGCCGGCATCCAACGGTCTTAATGTCTAGCTTCAACCAATCCGCAATATTGCGCGATCGTCCATCATGGTCTTCAGTGAGTAAATGTCTTACACCAGATCGAAGGTCCTGGGTTCCTTTCCCGAGTACGGGATCGTGAATGCGTACTCCTGAGGAGTCCCATATTAGGATGAACCGGCCGTTCAGTGCTTCCAGGTTCTCGATGGTGTTTTAACATTGATCTATTCATGATCTCTATAACCTTATATTGATAATTTAAGTAATGTTTCTACTTAATACAACCGGTTCCTCAAATAGAAGCAGATATGAAAAGTCAGTCAGTCAGTCAGCTACAACGTAGGACCAGGCACATATATACATCGGTCCAAGTTGCCATACCGCATCAGCACAACGAGATGAACACCGGATTCATAGCAGTGGCTAGGTCAAAGGTGGTAATATATAAGAGAAAGATTGCATATAGAGATATAGTACAAGAAGAAAGAATTGGTTCGTAGAAAGAAAGATATGAAGTGATTTTAATCTCATAGTTTAAGGGAAGACAGAGAGTGTATACACCGACGCCATTGTGATCAACTCTGAGCCATGTCACCAAGAGTCTCCAACCATTGGTTACGAAAGTCACGCGGACCCCAACCAAGTAGTCTGCATGTACCAACATGGCTCAGACTAGAAGTTAGTGTCTTCAAGCACTGATGCCACGTTTTGGATAAGCAATAACTAAAAAGAGCTGGAAAGGATTGCCCAAGACAGGGTTGGATGGAGAGTTCTGGTGGGCGGCCTATGCTCCTCCACGAGGAGTAATAGGCATAAGTAAGTCAGTCAGTCAGTCAGCTACCTTACCTCACGGATTTCCGTCTCCGGCGGTAAGGCCCTTTGAAGAACGGAGCTAACACAATTAAAAACCTTCCACGAAAAGGCCGTGCGCGACCGGCCTCAAGCAGTTGTCCCTTGGGCACTGCGGTCACGCTCTCAGGTCACTGAGACCACCTCTAATCCAATTTCCTTTTCAGGTACCTCCAGAAGAACCCTTCCATGGTGTGGGCAACCGGGAAGTGATAACCGCCCTCATACCTCTAACAGCACCCAAGACCACTGTATTCATAATCAACCTTCCTCCAGGCATAAGTAAGTATTTCAAAAGTTATTCAGTTTGAATTAGTTAGAAAACTATAAATAGAGAATTGACGAGCTTTTAACTTTACTACATACACATGATATAATAAACAATTCCCTAAATAGGTTCAAGGTAAACACATGTTTATATGCCAATATCGGAGCTACTCAAATATGTATCAATATTAATGATGTGGGACAATACTAAGTTATTGATCTTTATTTATTAACTCATTTACTAAGTACAGATTTATTTACTTGGTTTTGAGTTATACTAAGTGTGAGGGATAAAATTACTACCCAGTAGTTACCGAAGAAGAAAGTAGGAAGAACACAGTACAAACCTGAGACTTAATAATCAAAAGTTGAATGTTTTACCTACTGAGTAACCGCTATACATTAAATTGTTGAAGTGAAATACATTTTGTAGCTCAAGTCACAAAATACAAAAAAGATAATCTGAAAAGACCGGTTAGTTTAAATGCTAACACATATCTCAGAGCTTTTCCTTACAAAATGATGATTTCTGCTACCCAAAGTAACTAACGCAACACATACAAATACTACGTGAATGTATTAAGAATTCGACCATCAATCATTTTTTTTATGCACTAAAAGGTAATCTCGAAATTATGCCACTCATATTGAAGTCCTTAATCTTACATCGTGCTCAGTATATACCACAAGAATTTACTTTTATTTATCTATTTGATAATTATAAGTATATTTGGAGGGCGGGGAAACAAATTTATCAAGGAAATATTTCCTTTTTGAACAACTTTTCATAGTGGCATTAAATCAATAGGTTTGACTGATATTGGATAATAGAAGTGTGTTACTTCTATGGGTTACATCATAGACTGAAAACTAAAAAGTATTGGTGTTCTAGTAAGAAGCCGTGATCAGTCTAACCGAGTGGGATGTGAGACAGTTACACATTAAGGGCATTGAGAGGTTGTTGCGCAGTATGGAGAATTGATTGGAGTTACAAATGCAAACCACTGAAAAGCAAATTAGCAACCGAAAGGTTAATGGTTTGCTGTGAGATCTGAAGCAGTTGGATCCGATTCCCAGATGGAAAGTTGTGGACGTGTACTCCCAAGGAGTTGCATACTACGACGAAAAAGCTGTCCGACCGTGTCTGGTTTTTAGTGATTGTCTAACTAAAATCCGTGGTCTAAACAAAACTAAACAAGACCCTAATACTAATAAATTACCACGTAAAGGTGTATGGGTTCGGGTTTATATCACGAAATTCGAGTGAAAGTAAATAAGCTTTATCTAACCATTTAAAACGAAGTAAACACAGTGTGCGGTCCGTACCCTCAGCCTATTAGGCTGCGTAAAGCGGTTTATTTAAACATAAAGCTACTGAACCAATTTTAAATGAAAATAACACTGAAACCAAACAAATAGTGATGACTTATTCAATAACATTTGCAATTTACATTATCTATGAGTCAACATGAAAGTAATTCAAGGACAATAAGAAGTTGGAATTGAATTGAACATGGATATCTACGAGTTGCTTGTTTGAAAACATTAATACTGGTACAACGAGGCATGAAATGTAAGTGCGCCACACATGAGCTTATGAAAAGATAAGAGATGGAATGCCTCTCGAAATCAATCTTTATTGGGCTCTATCAATAAATCTTCCTTGAAAGACCTGTTTTTTTAAAGCAGTCAGGAATAGAACAAAAGAATCTATTATATTCAGGCATCGAAGCGAAACTAGGGAGTTATTACTGTTAATTTACGGCAAATTAATGATTAACGTGTATTCTTACATTCACAACTATTCTACTGGTAATATCAAGATGAGATGAAACTTACGTTTTGAACTGTACTAAAATACGAATAGTGGAGAATACTTGTTTAGTGCGTTGACCAAAACCATGGTCGTAAATTTCAAGTAGCTGTCGGTTGTTACAACATAAATAGATAGAAGGATATTTCAACCAATCAGTTAACAGAAACGTAGAACCTGGTTGATTTGTGCATCGGTTCAAGTTGCTATACTACTATATCAGCACAAAAAGATGGAATTATTAAACTAAATCTCAGAGTGGTCGTATGAAATACTAACCATAGACTAGATGACTCGAGAAGATAGTGAATTTACGGGACAAAAAGATAAGGTAGTTTGAAAACTCAAGATCTAGCAAAAGGTAAATAGGAAATGAATTTTTGCCGTTGTGCAAGCCATGTCACTCAACAACTCCAACAATTAGTTAAGGTAATCGTACGGAATCCAACCAAGTTAGTCTGTACGTACAACCGAGACTAATCCAAAAGTTGATGACTTCACGAGCCAGTAAATAACTACAAGTTTTGTCAAAACGAAAGTATTTGAGCTGGGATTTGATCTGTACTTTAGTAATTGAGAATTAGGCATAGTTTTTACAGCCCTTAATCATTGGGATGATTGTGCCAACAGATTTAATTGAAAATGTTTACAATGAAACAAGGAGGAATCTAACATTTTAATGGAATAGACAGATGAACCTCAACACCAATATCATTCGATCTTCAGTATATGAATTAACGAACAACACTAAACTTGCTGTATAGTGTAAAATGAGAAGAAGAATGAAATTTAATGCTTTACTTACCTTTCTAATACATTTAGTAAATTTTCAGCTGCTTTATACGTTTCTTCATCTTTATCAAATAAACTGGAATATGTACTATTTAACGGTGATCCAAATATACTACTACCGCCAACATTATTAGTAGTGGTGGTTGCAGTTGTCATTGAATTCACTATCATATCACTATTATCTGAATTTGGAAGATTATTCACTAAATAATTGCGTAGAACAGTGATGAGTTCAATTAGACAATGAGCTGCCGATTCATGTGCCTAATTATTAAAAATGAAAATATAGAGTAGTGAAAATAAATCACTGAATGAACTACCAAGAAAAATGGAACCTACGTTCTTATTTATTGATTAAATGATCGTTTTGTCTAAACTGTAGGCAGTAAAAACAGAAAGAAACCTATTGGGAGTCCTCATAAAATCAATCTTTAAAAATATTTAAGATTCCAATGAGTATTAATACGAGTAAACTACATAAACCAGTCAACCACTGATTTGCGAAGAAGATATAGGGTATAAAACAGCTGTTTTATTCTAACTCGAAACACATCAATGGTGTTCAGCCAAGAGTTTACATGGCATCTAGTCCAATCTAGGCCAATGAGATCTCATAACAAACACAACAAAATCAGATTATTAAACTGTTGGTTATTGTTCCTAATTCAGACCATTTAAGCCTCCAAATGCCCTGATGCGGTCGAGAGTGAGGAGAGTAAGCTATCCCTCTCCAGATGCTCTTACAGCGACTGTCAAGGAAGTCCTACTCAATGCCTTCTCGCGGCAGAGGTGTCGTTTACGAAATTGAGAGGGCGAAAAGCCAATGTCCAGCGCTTTAAGCGGGTTGGTGGATATGGAGGATCCACTTAGGGGAGTTGGAAAACCCTGATTACAATCCAATGGTGCACATGGGCTCCAGAATCATGCGGTAATAAATGGAGTCTAAACTAATTGTTGGTCACCGGCTACCTTGTGGATTAGATCTTCGAAGCAAAGGTTCAGGGAATGGCCCCCTAGGAAAACCACCTGCTTCGGTTTGGGCGCCCGGGTAGTATCACAGTCCTCACACAAATAAATGATAACTACTACTGATCACATTGTTATTATGTGGCGCATATGTATTTGGTGACATCTTGTGCCAATGTTTAGGTGTTCAAATAAATAAAAAAATAAACCTACACCCATTTCTGTATCTAGTGAGTTCTGTCTTCCTGTGCTAATACACAAAATATGGCGACACTCGACCAGGTTCTAAGTTGTTTCACCTTGTTTATCTATTTATACCTTACCTAGATAATTCTATAGTAATATTAAATGTAATCAAAAGATTCATAATTGAACAAAAATCAAAAATTAAAACAACTTAATACAGATGAGGAAGTGACAGAAGTCAATACTTAGTTTACGTTAATATTAACCAAGCTACATTTCAGTCAGTCACCTACAACGTAGAACCAGGGACATATATACATCGGTCCAAGTTGCCATACCTCATTAGCACAACAAGATCAACACCAAATTCATACAAGTAGTTAATTCAATGGTGGTAATATATAAAAGAAAGATTGTGTATGAGGATATAATACAGGAAGAAGGATTTAGTACGTAGAAAGAAAGATATGAAGCGATGTAAATCTCTTAGTTTAAAGGAAGACAGAGAGTGTATACACCGACGCAATTGTGATCGATTCTGAGCCATGTCACTCAGAGTCTCTAACCATTGGTTATGATAGTCACGCGGACCCCAACCAAGTAGTCTGCATGTACCAACATGGCTCAGACTAGAAGTTAGTGACTTCAAGCACTGATGCCACGTTTTAGTTTGGCAGATCATAACCGAGCTACATTGCAGTAAACAAAATAACTGTGTAGTTAATCCTCAAAAGAAAAGATTAACGAACCTTACTTAACGGCTGGATATTACTAACGTATTCACTAGAATTGTATGTTCATTTGTAAAGGAAAAACAAGGTTAATGAGAATAGTTTAGTGATAATTACTACTAGTTAACTCCAAGAGATTGTTTTGCCTAAATCCGTTACATAGGCATTGTTCTACTGATACACAATAAACATTTGTATTAAAGTCATAAGTTCAACTGTTTATGTAATATTCACATGTATATTTAAATGAAGTGTCACAAAATGAGTTGAATATGATCGACAAATGGATGATTTACATTATGATGTTAAATTAAATTAGCAAAATTTAACATTAGTGGTAGCCAGTCTTCTTTATAGGCATCGTTAGACCTTCTACATACAAGTATCTGTTCAGATTGTCAGATTTCATATTCAATGCAGTGAGAACAGACCAAATCATTGAATTTAGATCGATAACCACGATCAATAGTTAAAGATATTTGGTGACATGGCTAAGGATCAGTAGAAATAACGAATATCTAATCACTCTTTGTCTGACTTTAGGTCTTGAATTCCAGTATTCCTTTGTGTATGCCTTTTTCTTGAATCGTATCATCAATGTTTAGTCTTTGTCATTATTATTTCTAATACATTATTTCGACTACTTTATGATTCATCACATTAATCTCCTGGTGCTTGATTTAGTATGGGATACTAAGACAAAGCATATTTTTGCCAGGTTCTATGTTGATTGCAACTAGTTAAACTTAGTCAGAAGTACTGAAAACTTGTTATTTCGATTCATCTACTTTAAATCGTTTAAAGTGTAAAAGTATGTAGATTAGGATACCCAATGTCGAATTGAAACTTGTATGTCATTAACATTATTCTTTTGACAAAAATCCAACTAGATACAACATGAAATAATCATAATCATAATCACACTTATTACTATAGAAAAACAACTAGTAATGCAACAATTAGTGATGAAAAAAGACTTACGTCAGACGAATAGATTGGATCAAATTTTTCAATAAGACGTTCAACAAGTCGATCGGTCTTAAACCACTGAGAACACATGGAAAGTAAAGTAGTTAAAAATAAAAAATATTAGAAGAGGTTCTGTGGATATTATAGTAATTTTAATAGTTGAGATCATGAGTCAACTGAAGCTAGACCACCATGGAAAACATGGACGACCGTTTCGTCCTATTGTGGGACTCCTCAACAGTGCGCATCCATGACTCTATATCGCGAGATTCCAGTCCAGGACCTACTAGTCTCGCGCGCGAGTGCTTAAGCACCAGACCCCTGAGCTGGTATTGAATGGTGTCAATGTCTAACTTCAACTAATCCACGAAATTGAGCGACATATCCACCATTATCATCAGTGAATTACTATCTCACAACAGACCCAGTTGAATTCCACTGGAGATAAAACAAATATGTAAATTGTATCCCAATATATTCAACATATTTACTGAAGGATATTACATTAATCAATTAATTTGATTGACATACTCCATTTAGCTACCATTGTGATGTGTGCTACTGATATCGACATATATAAGTACTATGTATCATCACTCAGAAGTGAAATGCTTGGAGGCAGAAGGTTAAAAAGATCGAAGAGAAGAGAACGAGAACAGAGAATGTTTGGTGTGGAAACGAAGGAACAATCAAATCTGAGACGATTGACTGACATTTTACAAATGAAGTATTTACTGTATGGTTTTTAGATTTTACTAAGAGATTGTGGAATTTTGTGTCCCGCCTGTGTTCTCGTTCACTACATTACGAGCGAAGTAAAGAAAGATTAGTTAATGAAGCGGTGGATAATTTTTCCCAGATTCAAATCATTTAACGTTTATTTTATTTTGGGTAGCCATGTTATAATACCAGTTCACACATGAGTAATATGACTTGAAGCTAAGTACGTAAACCTGAAACATTGTATAAAAGTCATAATAAACATTATCAAACTAAGAAAAGATTTAAGTTGATGTGCATCACACGACAGGAACGGGGAATTTACACTATGACGGGTATTACATTACCATAATAACTAAGTGCCTGATGATATGCAATGTAGCAATGGTACAAGCATTCACAAAAACATTACACGTGATAAAAAACGGAGGCTGGTCTTGAGTTCAACAAAAAACTTTAAAACTAGAAAGCATGATTTTCGCACATCAACAACATACATATACTTTATCCCATAACATTACATTATAAAAGGTATTGAGTTTGAGTCCCATTATGGATATCAACAATAAGACTTCGGTACATCCAGCTGACAAGTTCCAAATACAAAGAAACGGGTAAACTAGATCCTGCTACTCAGTCAGTCAGTCAGCCACAACGTAGGACCAGGCACATATATACATCGGTCCAAGTTGCCATACCTCATTAACACAACAAGATGGACACCGGATTCATATAAGTGGTTAATTCAGAGGTGATAATATATAAAAGAAAGACTACATATAAGGATATAGTACATGAAGGAAGAATTAGTTCGTAGAAAGAAAGATATGAAGCAATTTTAATCTCTTAGTTTAAGAGAAGACAGAGAGTGTATACACCGACGCCATTGTGACCGATTCTGAGCCATATCACTCACAGTCTCAAACCATTGGTTACGATAGTCACACCAACCCCAACCAAGTAGTCTGCATCTACCAACATAGCTAAGACTAGAAGTTAGTGACTTCAAGCACTGATGCCACGTTTTGGTTTGGCCGCCCCTAATTCTCTTCCAATCATCTCTAACACCCGTTAGCATTGCACGTCGTAGTAATCGGTGTTCGGGCATACGTAACACGTGACCCAACCATCTCAGTCGATGAAGATTAACAAACTCGTCAACTGATTTACCACCATTCCCTAATACCCTGCGTCGAACCTCACTATTACTTACCCGGTGATCCCAGCAGACCCCAGCAGTATTTCTAAGGCATCTGTGGTCAAATACTAGTAGCTTATGAGTGTCTTCTACTCTTAAAGGCCATGTTTCGCTGCCGTAAAGTAAGAAAGAGAACGGACTGCCGCGCAGTATACTCGTCCTTTTATTGATAGACGGATATCTTGCCTTCGCCATAGGTGACGTAAGTTGGCAAAAGCTAAACGAGCTTTTCGAATCCGTGCTGAGATTTCGTCCGATACCAACCCATTAGGGCTGATGAGACTTCCAAGATAAGTGAAGTTGTCGACGCGTTCGACTACTTCACTCCCTATCCTTAGTTCAGGTGTTGACGCAGACCAGTCCTGCTACTAGCTACAATCCATTCATTCTAAATAAAAGGTAAGGTATAATTGATGATAAATATATTTTAGTTGAAACGATTCATCCTACTTTTATAAAGAATGTAACAGAAAATTACAGGAGACTTAATACTGCCTTATTGTACATGCAATGTCTGATAGTCTTAGGATAAAATCATTTCACTAACAAGTGAAAACTAGCATGAAACCCAGATCTGAGGTTTTCTACTGACTTCTCCCAGCTACCTAACACCAAAATACAGTACACATACACACATAATATCGAATTAGACTACTGACAAAATTGCCAATTGACGTAGAGAATCTGATCAACACTTATCAACAGAAAAATCTGATATCGGTTACTACTCAATGATAAATCAATGGAAGAGATTATTAATTCTTATGAAATGTCGACTATACACAATAAATAAGTTTCTGTAAAAGATCTTTGAATGATTATTGGTATTATTTGTGTACACAATTAGTACAATTTGAACAAAATAGAAAATTTAAATGCTTACTTCAAAAATCATATGTTGTTGTTTTGTTTCTTGTTGAGATAATTGTATAATTAAATCGGCCACAGAGGAAGAATCCAAAGATAAGAATAACTGATCAAGAAATTCATTTGATGATCGTAAATAAGGTATAATCTGTAACAGAAACATAGTTATTCCAGTTGGAAGATAAAAATATTTATGACGGTTTAACTTAAGCGCTACATATTTAGACACTAATTGGTGAAGATATTTATTTATTTATTTAAACACATAAACATTGGTACAAGGAAACACCAAATAAATATGCGCCACATAAATTATTCGATTTGTGTGAGGGCTAAGATACTGTCCTGGTGCCCAGACGGAATAAGTTGGTTTTCTTAGGGAGCCACACTCAGAACCTTCGACCTAAGGGTCTGACACATAAGGCCGTTGACGCAACGTCAGGAGATGCAGTCCCACGGTAGCCAGTGACCAATAATTCGCTCATACGCCATTTATTCCTTCAGGATACTGGAGCCCATGTGCACCATTGGTTTGGAATCAGGGTTTTCCAGCTCCCCAACGTGGTCTCTCCGTGTCCACCAACCCGGTTAAAACGCCGGGCATTTGCTTCTCGTCCTCTTAATTTTGTAAAAACCACCCCCTCCGCAAGAATGCATTGAGTAGGACTTTCCTGACAGTGGTTGTATGCGCGTGACCATGTGAGAACATTTCGAAGAGGGAAAGCTGATTCTCCCCATTCTCGACCGTACCAGGGCATTTACGCTGAACTTTAGGTTTCTTACTTCCTTATCACACACTGCAATGCTGTAAAGACATAGACGCCCAAATAGTAGTAGCTAATACACGTCTCTACAAAACATGTTTCATGAACAACTGGGCACTATGCCCAAAGGCTAACAGACAAACATACCCTCAAACAAATAGCGAAGATCAAATCATAAACCACTAATCGGTAATTAAGTTATGTTAAATATTAAGTCTCATGTTAAGTTTGTGCATTCAAGAGTTTTGTCTGTAAGTTTAGATCGTTTGAGTAATCCAACCAGTATATTTAAATACATCTCCATATCGGAAACTAATAACACTAAAGGAAAAAAAACTAAACACATAGGATATATCAGAAGGGATTTTTGTGGATATTATAGTAATTTTATTAGTTGAGATCATGAGTCAATTGAAGCTAGGCTACCATGGAAAATCTGGAAGCACTGGATGGCCGTTTTGTCTTATTGTGGAACTATTCAGTGGATGCACATCCACGATCCCGCAGAGTGAGATTCAAACACGCGAACGTTTAACTTCTAGACCACTGAACCGGATATAATTCGAAAAGAATAAACAAAATGAAATGATGAAATGTATGAAATAATATGAGAGTTGAAAATCTAGAGTACAATAAAGAGTTGGTAAATTTATGTTATTTGTCAGTGATTTTCAAGCAATTCGGTAAAAGTCTCCTAAATTTATCAATCCAATACGTTACATAAACTAAGTATATTTTATCGAAAATATGGAATCAATTATAATTTAATGTTCGAATTAATCACCATAAGGCTAGAAAAAAGCCATTTAGCCTCTGAGTGACATAACTCAGAATCGATCACAACGGTGTCGGTGTATACACTCTCTGTCTTCCCTTAAACTAAGAGATTTACATCGCTTCATATCTTTCTTTCTACGTACTAAATCCTTCTTCCTGTATTATATCCTTGTACACAATCTTTCTTTTATATATTACCACCATTGAATTAACTACTTGTATGAATTTGGTGTTGATCTTGTTGTGCTAATGAGGTATGGCAACTTGGACCGATGCATATATATGCTTGGTCCTACATTGTAGCTGATTGACTGACTACTACAAAAAAACAAAATAGAAAAACGAATAAAATCATATAACAAATGAACAAAATGAACACTTACAATATTTCCACGATGTAATGTTAAATGTATTAATAAACGTGAAACAAAACTAGCTGATAATGGATTAACTGGTTGATTAGAATAATGAAAAAATTTCAATAATAAATCTAAACGTCGTCGACATGTAGTCATTGATGAATCAACTTGAATAGCCTCATTTGATTTAGTTATTTTTGTGATTGTAGATGAATGAGGTGTTGATAATGACATTGGTGGAGAAAGTTTTAAACTAGATGATAAGATTTCACTTAAATCATTTACTGAATTATTATGATTATTGTTGTCAAATAATTGACTACTATGATGACCATTGATAATAGATGATGATTCATTGATAATAGACATCGAAGATGATAAATGATTGGTACTATCATCATCGTGGACATTCGAATAATGATCAGTAAGATTATGATTTATTTGGTGTAGTTCCGAGGAATTATTGCCAACTATTAACATATCATTACAACTTTGATCATTAGTATTATTATTGATCTCTGTCAAACTATGATCATTGATAATTACTGAAGATGATGGTAAAGGTGAAGAGAAGGAGGATGGTATTGATATAGATTTTATCTGATTGGATTCTAACATGTGATTATTATGATTATTGTTGTTATTACTACCATTATTATGTGATTCATTAGGAGTATGTTGATCAGTTGTTGATTCGGTTAATTCAATTATCCCATCTAGTATTTCGTTGATGTCATTTGTTAGAATTTCACAGGCTAAACTAGAATATCTAAACAAAAAGCAGGAAACATTATAATTGTGTGTTTTTTTTTAAATTAATCCAGTTTTAAAAATAGTTTACCATAACTAATCCGACCGTAGTTGCTACTATGACTTAGTGGTCGACTTTGAAGATTGTGATAACCAAATAAAGATGTCTTGTCTGAAAAACGCTTTACTTCAGAGTGTACTATGCCAGATAGATCGGTTGAAGAACGGCAAAACTAAAGGCAATAATATAAAGTATAAGGGCAGAGTCGTGCCGCTGATTATATAGAGGTGTGTCAGCAGTAAGATGTGGTTGAAGATCTACAGCGATACTTCTTACTCACAATGGAAGGAAGAGGTTAGAAGAGATCGGCACCAAAAATGTCGTGTCACACATTACTCCAGAGCTCTACATCTCTGGTAGTAAGGCCTTCTGAAGTTCAAGGCCAACACATCGAAAACTTGCCACAAAAACATAGTGTGTAACCGGCCCAAGCAGCCATCCTTCGGATTTTACGACCACGCTCCCAGGTCGCTGAGAACACAACTAATCAAGTTGCCTGTTCAGATTCACCAAGAAGACAATAGCCGATAAGGGTATGGGCAATTGGAAAGTGACACCTGCTACGATACTTCTAACAGCTCACGAAATAGCTTTCTACAAACATACGTGTAACGAATATAACCTTTTCCTTTCAAGAAATTAACTATCCACTTCTTTTATAAGGAATGCCAACGATGTAAATGTACCTAAAGAGAATCGAACGGCATTAAATTTAAGTGCCAAAAACAGGATGGCACATATAGACATTATTAACTGACATCACTAAATTGCATGAAAATAAAACTCTCAAGTTTATGCCATCCCTCTCAATACAACTCTAAGGCAGTCAACAATAACGAACAAATGATCCAATTTATTACTAAACTTTAAACTACTTAACTATCGTTTCATTCTGATCACCAATGACTGAAAGTAAATGTTAAATTTTAAGAAATCTTTATCATAGAAAGACAACCATTGGAGAACTACTGAAAACACTAGTCAATGATGTCGTAACCGTTGCAGTAGTTAAAAATTGTTTGTGCACACTGCTGACAAATTTTCACTCAACACAAACCAGATGCTCAGGACTCTCTTATCTTACGTTAATTCAGGATTAGATTTACTTTCGAACTGCTGCTACCTTGATATGGTGGTCGGGCTTGCCTATCGTGATGACCCAACCGAGCTATATTGGCTGGAACATATGTTCCTGTAGGTTCTACCATGCCAGGCAGGTCGATTGGAGAACGGTAAGACTGAAGGCAGCAACTCAAGTTCTGAGGGCGAAGTCGTACTGCTGACTGTAGAGGGGTGTTACTGCAGTAAGGTGTTTCCCTCGGACAACCAGCATCTGAAGCGATGTCGCCTTCCCACAAGGATGGAAGGGGTTAGAAAAGGTCGACCCTAAAAATGTCACACCTCACCTTACCTCACGGATTTCCGTCTCCGGCGGTAAGGCCCTTCGAAGAACGGAGCTAACACATTAAAAACCTTCCACGAAAAGGCCGTGCGCGACCGGCCTCAAGCAGTTGTCCCTTGGGGTCTGCGGTCACACTCCCAGGTCGTTAAGACCAACACTAACCCAATTTCCGTTTCAGGTTCCTCAAGAAATACCCTTCCAGGGTGTGGGCAGCCGGGAAGTGATATCAGCCCTCATACCCGTAACAGCACACGAGGCCAAGTTGGTCACATTCAAATCCTTCCTACACCTAATACCTTTCTTATCACTATGACTAACTCTCCTCACGTCTCTTTATCGTCTCGCACCGCTAGGGCAAACGATTACAGTACGCGGAACGCTATTCCTTGTCTTCTGAAACCACGCTCTAAACTACACGTAGGAGCTTTTAACGTCCGGACACTGTGCCAAATAGGACAACAGGCTTCGTTAGCTAAAACTTTAGAATCTCGCGCCATCGATGTGTGCTGCGTCTCCGAAACGCGCATACAGGATCCGAGTAGCGTCATTCATTTGACCTCACCATGTCAAAGTAACGAAACAACTCGATTCACACTTCGTGTATCTGGAAGCCCTGATTCTGCTTCCCGTGGCCTCGCTGGCGTAGGTATAGCATTGAGTCCTAGGGCAGAACTGGCTCTCTTAGAGTGGATTCCAGTAGACAGTCGTCTGTGCGCTGTCCGACTAAACGGAACAGTAAGGATCCGAAAAGATAGGGACACTCGTCGTTGCCTCTTCGTCGTCTCTACCTATTCTCCCACTGACTGCAGCTCAGATGATGTAAAAGATGAGTTTTACAGAAAGCTCTCCGACCTTCTCCGAAAAGCAAGGCGCTCTGATGTAGTAATAGTGGCCGATGACTTTAATGCTCAAGTAGGTAAACTAAGCGATCGGGAAAGACACCTAGGTGGATCATATGGTATCGTAGCCCAAAGAACACATAATGGTGACCGTCTGTTGCAGTTTTGCTCAGATTACCGCCTGTTTCTTGCAAACGCTAACTTTAAGCATAAGCAAAAACATATTTTGATATGGCAACCCCCTAATTCGTCCCAACGTTGGACCCAAATAGATCACATCGCTATCAGCCACCGATGAAGAGGCTCGATAGAAGACTGTCGCTCATTCTGGAGCACATGCTTAGATTCAGATCATGCTCTAGTGCGAGCGCGTATTTGCTTGCGTCTTACTGGACGTAGGAAAGACGCTGAAAGAAAACCTCTTAGGGGCCTACATAATGATAGTCAAGCTAAGAGTATATTTCAGGAACAACTAGGAAAGCAGTTAGGCAGCCATGTAGGTGATGCCCACTCCGAGGCAGCATGGAATGATATTCGAAAAGCTGTGGAAACAGCAGTGATATCTGCTAGTAAGGTAAACAGTAAAGTTAGGGAGAAACACTGGATCTCAGCAGCATCTATCGCACTGATAGATGCTCGGAAACTTATCCCACCTGACTCTGAACATAATGAAGAGCGGAGTCAGCTTAAGCGCAAGCTGAAAAGAAGCCTACGCAATGATCGCGAACAGTGGTGGGTAGCGAAAGCAAGACAGATGGAAAAGGCAGCGGCAATAGGTAATAGCAGACAATTGTTCAGACTCGTTAAGGAAACCGGAATTAGGAACCCGACCATTAGCGAAACACTCTCAGAGAAAGATGGATATATTATACATTCTCAATCCAGGAGATTGGATCGATGGGCAGAACTCTTTAGGGACCAGTTCAACTGGCCTTCAGCCATACTTCGGTTTCCCACGATCTCCAGTTAACCTGAATGGCAAGTTAATGTAGGTCCTCCGTCTCTTTACGAAGTTGAAAAAGCCATAGGAAATCTGAAGCGAAGGAGAGCAGCAGGCCCTGACAGGTTTACCCCTGAGATTTTTAAAAATGGCAGTCTAGTATTAGCAGTGAGATTAACTGAGGTCTTAGTAGAATTTGGGAACTGGACGTAATCCCATCTGACTGGTCTCAATCACTGATTGTGAAAGTCTGTAAGAAACGACAAAAATCCTGTTGTGACAATCGCAAAGGAATCAGTTTGAGTAATATAGTGTCTAAAATATAAGCTTCAATAATACTTCAACGCTTAACCAAAGCTCGTGAAGAGCAGACCATTTATTTATTTATTTTAACACATAGATATTGGTTCAAGAAGACACCAAATATATATGCGTCACAGAAATCTCATTTGATATATGTGAGGGCTGTGATACTGCCTGGGTGCCCAAACCGAAGCAGGTGGTTTCCTTAGAGGACCACATCCGGAACCTTCTACCTAAAGGTCTGATCCACAAGGCAGTGGAGCATCGTAAGGAGATGCAGTCCCACGGTAGCCAGTGACAAACGATTGGTTCATAGGCCATTTGTTCCTTCAGGACGCTGAAGCCCAGTGCACCATTGGTTTGGAATCAGGTTTTCCAACTCCCCTAGGTGGACTCTCTATGTCCACCAACCCGGTTAAAACGCCGGGTATTTGCTTCTCGTCCTCTCAATTTTGTGAAAACCACCCCCTCCGCAAGAATGCATTGAGTAGGATTTCCCTGGCAGTGGTTGTGTGCACGTGGCGATGTGAGAGCATTTCGAGAGGGATAGCTGATTCTCCCCACTCTCGGCCGTACTAGGGCATTTGGGGGCATCAGCCCTTGTGGTCTGATGTGTGACGAAATCTCAGCACGGATACAGAAGGCTCGACTAGCTTTTGCCAACTTGCGTCATTTATGGCGTAGGCGAGATATCCGTCTACCAAACAAAGGACGTGTTTACTGCGCAGCAGTTCGTTCCGTCCTACTTTATGGCAGTGAAACATGGCCGGTAAGAGTAGAGGATATTCGTAGGTTACTAGTATTCGATCACAGATGTCTTCGAAACATTGCTCGTATATCCTGGGACCATCGAGTAAGTAACTCAGTTGTTAGGAAACGGGTATTAGGTAAGGATGGCAAATCAATTGATGACGTAATGAAACTTCATCAGTTGAGATGGCTGGGACATGTGTTACGTATGCTCAACCACCGACTGCCTCGACGTGCGATGTTTTCTGGTGTTGGAGTGGGTTGGAAGAAAGCTAGGGGCGGCCAGACCAAAATAAGGCACTAATCCATTTAATCGCTGACAAGTGGACTGTGTCATGTTGGTAGGTGTAGACTACCTGGTTGGGATCCGCGAGATGATAGCAACCGATGGTGAGAGCTGTTCAATGATATGGCTCAAAATCATTTTCAGTGGCGCAGATGCATTCACTCTTTGTGTTCTCCCTAATTCTAATCTTTTGAATTCTTTATGTCCCTTTCTTTCTCTTTCCAAATTTATTTCACTGTATTATACTCCCTGAATAACATCTCCAAACACTAATCTTTCCGATTACTGCTTATACTCTTACTACCTTTACCACTACGGAATTTGAATCGACAACTGCATCTCTGTGCTGATGTGCTATGGCAACTCGAACTGATGTACGTACGTACGAAGTTCTACGTTGTTACTGACTGACTGACTTTACTTATTTGCTTTTTAGTCAGCATACACTAGTAAACTCAGTTAATATAGTGTTTGTACAAAGTATGCCTGAGAAGTGTAAATTAAGACGCGTGTCCCATCTTGTTTTTGACCTATCAACTGGATGTACTGTACCATAGTATTCATATTGAAAGATTCGAGTCCCGCCCGTACATCGACTTCTACTTGAAAAGAATTATGCACATTCGGTTTATCAACAAATTTGATCAATTGTACAAATACTAATCCGTATTAAATTCATGTGAAGGACATTCAGTCAGTCAGGAAGGATTTGAATGTGACCAACTTGGCCTCGTGTGCTGTTACGGGTATGAGGGCTGATATCACTTCCCGGCTGCCCACACCCTGGAAGGGTATTTCTTGAGGAACCTGAAACGGAAATTGGGTTAGTGTTGGTCTTAACGACCTGGGAGTGTGACCGCAGACCCCAAGGGACAACTGCTTGAGGCCGGTCGCGCACGGCCTTTTCGTGGAAGGTTTTTAATGTGTTAGCTCCGTTCTTCGAAGGGCCTTACCGCCGGAGACGGAAATCCGTGAGGTAAGGTGAGGTGTGACATTTTTAGGGTCGACCTTTTCTAACCCCTTCCATCCTTGTGGGAAGGCGACATCGCTTCAGATGCTGGTTGTCCGAGGGAAACACCTTACTGCAGTAACACCCCTCTACAGTCAGCAGTACGACTTCGCCCTCAGAACTTGAGTTGCTGCCTTCAGTCTTACCGTTCTCCAATCGACCTGCCTGGCATGGTAGAACCTACAGGAACATATGTTCCAGCCAATATAGCTCGGTTGGGTCATCACGATAGGCAAGCCCGACCACCGCGTCAAGGTAGCAGCCTCAGTCGGGAGAACGACATTAATAAGTTAGGAAGCTAACAAACTGATTGGTTTAATCCTAATAATGTGTATACTTACCAAGATATTGTTGTGCTATCTCTATCTCAATAAGTAAATACATTGATATGATTAAAGAAATCAGTTTGTTAGCTTTCTAGCTCTCTAAAAACTATTAAGCCATCTTTTAGCACGTAAAATGAGTTCATCTTTGGATTTGTTGACTCCTGACATGTTTTATGCTGAGTATTTTTTAACGACGATCAAAGTTAACGTAAACCATCAAATGTTTATAAACGGTCGTAGCTGGAGCTAAGAGCTCTTTGTTAGAAATGGAAGAGAAAAGAACACCTCTAGTAAAACAGACAAGCAAGCGCTAACTAATTTAAACACGAAACTGAAGTTGTTACTACTGGACAACTACCTTTAAAACACTATACGATATAACCTTAGTAACACTCAGTCACCAGAAACATTTGCTTAGGATGTGTTTATGTACTCGGCTTTGAACCAAAAATGTAAGAACGGTTGATACCACTTGGATGGTGGGAACCAAACAAGTGTAGCAAGGTTTAAGTACATAGCCCATTAGTTGGATGTTGTGGTCAGGAAAGATGAAATTATCAGCGTTAAAAAAACAAATAGGATTGACAAGAAAAGGCTTATCAATGACTACATAATCACAATTGAACTCACCTATACAAATCTCGATTGAAATTAGAACATTTAGGTGTTCGACTAACTAAATCTATTAGATAATCCAAATTATCTGACCTTGATAAACTAAGGAAAGAAATTATGAGTAATTCCAGATAGATGAATAAAAACTTACAAATTAATTAAACGTGGATCTTTTTCACGACATTTTTGTAAAACATCATCATCATCCAAAAGTTCCTTGATTGTGAGATTCTATAGGAATAAGTAAGAAGGAAGACCATGGATGATACATACCGGTCGTGATAAAATATCATTGATCTGTGAATATGCAGCAGCAGATTCCCAGAACATGGCTGTAAGATTTGTAAAAGGAATGTATTTACATTGATTATCTAGTAAAGAAATTAAATGTAAAACTTTTAACCTAACAAAAACTGACAATGAAGTGAATCCTCAAAATATTAGCCGTTACATTACTAAAAAGACTCTGAACTTAGAAAACAACAAACTAAGTATACATGTAGGCTACTATTCACGAATATTGTGTGAACGCCACTGATATTGTCTGGACTCTGTTAGAATGGATCCCCGTTAACAGTCGCCTATGTACTGTTCAGCTAAAAGGCTCCGTAAGAACTTGGAATGAGAGGGACACACGTCGTTGACTTTTTATCATTTCTGCCTACGCTCCCACTGACTGCAGCCCGGATCAAGTGAAAGACGACTTTTACAGAAAGCTTCCTGCATTTCTTCATAAAGCTAGACACTCAGACATAGTACTCGTAGCACGTGTCTTTAATGCCCAAGTAGGTAGCTTAAATCAAACAGAAAGACATTTAGATGGATATTTGAGTATCTTGGCTCAGTGAACAGATAATGCTTACCTTCTGCTGTAACTGAGTTCAGACAATCGTTTATTTTTAGCAAACAGTAATTCTAAGCATAAGAAAAGACATTGTCTAACATGGTAACTTCATGCACTAAATCAACAATGGACTCAAATAGACCATGTTTTCGTCAGTCATAGTTGGAGAGTCTCGATAGAAGACTGCCGCTCGTCCTTGAGTACATGTTTAGACTCTGATCATTCTCTAATACGAGCGCGCATTTACTTGTACCTTATTGGACGTAGAAAAGCCACATTAAGAACTTAGCGACGAGAAAGCCAAAGGCTAATTCCAGGAAAACTCGAGGTCAAATTTGGGTAATTCTGAAAACGAGACTGACCCAGATGTTGCTTGGAAAGATGTATAAACAGCAGTGATATCTATTGGTGATTTGAACCAAAGGGTCATGAAAAACTAAGTCTATTGAACTGATAGATTCACGTATGATCATCTCATTAGGGTCTGAACACGATAAAGAATGAAAACAAATCAGATCTATGTTAACCAAAAGTTCATGGAACGATAGTGAACAGTGGTGAGCAACGACAGCAAAGCATATGGAGAAGGCAGCGGCTGTAGGTAACAAGACAGCTTTTAGGACTAACAAAAGAAACCGTAATTAGGAAGTCAAGTGTAGGTGAAAAAAATCTCAGAAAAAGATGACATTCAAATCTACTCTCTGTTTAGACGTTTAGAGGGATGAGCGGAACACTTTAAAGAGCAATTCAGCTGGATTTCAGATACCCACTATTTTCAAACACCCTTAATGGGACATTGATGACTGAAGTTCAGAGTGCTATAGCTAATATGAAGCAAGAAAGAGCAGCTGGTCCAAATGGATTAACTCCAGAGGTCGTCAAGGATGGTGGTCCAGTATTGGTCAGTCAGTCAGCTACAACGTAGGATCAGGCACATTTATGCATCGGTCCAAGTTGCCATACCTCATTAACACAACAAGATGGACACCAAATTCATAAAAGTAGTTAATTCAGTTGTGGTAATACATAAAAGAAAGATTGCAATAAGGATATAGTACAGGAAGAAAGAATTAGTACGTAGAAAGAAAGATATGAAGCAATTTTAATCTCTTAGTTTAAGGGAAGACAGACAGTATATACACCTACGCCATTGTGATCGATTCTTAGCCATCTCACCAAGAGTCTCCAACCACTAACTACGACAGTCACGCCGACCCCAACCAATTATTTTGCATCTACCAACATTGCTCAGATCAGAAGTTAGTGACTTCAAGCACTGATGCCATGTCTTAGTCTGGCCGCCCCTAACTTTCTTCCAACCGTCTCCAAAACTAGTCAGCATTGCGCGTCATGGTAATCAGTGTTCGGGCATACGTAACACGTGACCCAACTGTTTCAGTCGATGAAAATTCACAACCTCATCGACTGATTTACCATCATTCCCTAATACCCTGCGTCGAACCTCACTATTACTTACCCGGTGATCCCAGCAGACGCCAGCAGTATTTCTAAGGCATCTGTGGTCAAATACTAGTAGCTTATGAGTGCCTTCTACTCTTAATGGGCATGTTTCGCTGCCGTAAAGTAAGAAAGAGAACGGACTGCCGCGCAGTATACTCGTACTTTTATTGATAGACGGATATCTCGCCTTCGCCATAGGTGACGTAAGTTGGCAAAAGCCAAACGAGCTTTTCGAATCCGTGCTGAGATTTCGTCCGATACCAACCCATTAGGGCTGATGAGACTTCCAAGATAAGTGAAGTTGTCGACGCGTTCGACTACTTCACTCCCTATCCTTAGTTGAAATGTAGACGCAAACCAGTTTTGAATCAACAACTTGCATTTAGAGGGAGAGAAGCGCATTCCAAACATTCTGGCATTGCTGCTTAGTGCTACCAGAAGACTGCATTTTATCAGTGTCTTCACCAAACAGGACTATATCATCTGTGTATTCTAAGTGGATAAGTGGACCTCCTGGAAGGAAATCAATACCCGAGAATTCAGTCGACGAGAATGTTATTTTCCATCAATAGGTCTATGATGAAGTTAAACAAAAATGGAGAAAGTGGACAGCATAAACGGACACCACTTGAGGTTGCAAAAGCAGATGACAGTTCGCCATATGCTCTGGCTCAACTGGTAGTGTTCGAGTAAAGAGCCTTCACAGGGTTTATGTACTTCTGAGGTACGCCTTTCAATGACAGACACTGCCACAAAATCTCGCGGTCTACAGAGTCAAATGCTGCTTTTTAGTCTAGAAAGACCACCATTGTCAGACGCCGATAAGTATGCCTATGTTCTAGAACCTGACGAATGGTGAATATGTGGTCGATACAGCCACAACCATATGTGAAGCCATCCTGATTTTCTCGTATTTGCAATTCACGAGTCTTTGTTAGGCGTCCGATAATTATTGAGGCTAGTATTTTAGATGCTATGTTAGTCAAATTAATCCCTCTATGGTTATCACAGAATGACTTTGACCCTCTCTTATATATTGGGACAATCAGTGATTGTGACCAGTCAGATGAGATTACATCCAACTCACAGATTTCAGCTAAAATATTAGTTAACTTAATCGCTAAAACTAGACCATCATCCTTGAAGACCTCTGGAGCCAATCCATCTGGACCAGCTGCCCTTCCTCGTTTCAGATTAACTATAGCCTTTTGAACTTCAGCTAGAGTCGGAGGACCTACTTCAATGTTCCATTCACACTGTCTGGGAATGGAGGGTAGTTGTACAGTCGCTGAAGGCCAGATGAACTGTTACCCAAAGTGTTCCGCCCATCGTTCTAAACGTCTGGACTGGGAGCAGATGAGAGTATCATCTTTTTCCGAAATAATCTCACTTACACTTGACTTATTAATTCCAGTTTCTTTTATTAGTTTGTAAAGCTGTCTTGTGTTCCCTATAGTCGCCGCCTTTTCCATCTCTTTTGCTTTCGTTACCCACCACTGCTCACGGTCGTTCCTTAGACTTTTGGCTAACCTAGATCTGATTTGTTGTCGCTCTTTATCGTGTTCAGAGCCTGATGGGATGAGTTTACGAGAATCCATCAGTGCAATAGACCTAGAGGAAATCCATTGGTTCTTTGTCACCCTGTGGTTTAAGTCACTAATAGATGTCACTGCTGTTTCCACAGCTGTTTGTATAGCTTTCCAAGCAACATCTGGGTCAGCCTCGTTTTCAGAACTACCTAAGTGTGACCTCAGTTGTTCCTGGAACCTACTTTTGGTTTTCTCGCTACTCAATTCAGTTCTAATAGGTCTTTTTACCGTGGCTGGCCAGGATCAAGTTTGTTTGACGTCCTGGTGATACGTACTATAGGACTGATCCCTAGAAGTGCGGTCAAACCAAAACGTGGCATCAGTCTTTGAACTCACTAACATCTGGTCCCAGCCATATTGCAATATGCAGACTACTTGGTTGGGGGCCGCACGACTATCGTAACCAGCGGTTGGAGACGGAGTTGCATGGCTGAGAATCGACCATAATCGACTATAATTTACAGAAAAACCAGTCAGATATACGACAACGAGTCATGGATTTTGGTACGAAATTTATCCATACATTTGACCAATTATCATTTTTGGCATTATTGCTGTTAGTTCGTGAAAACCATAAATTCTCAAACCTAATCGTCAACGGTGAATCTTAATGCTAGTTCCTCATCGTAGTTTATGACCCTCATCTGGTCTTAGTTAGTAGGTGGACACTTTCAAGGTCACTTTGGCATCACTCAAAGGTCGTCCACAAAATGTCTAATCACATCCTTATATACGACCTTGTTTTTATATATTACTACAATTGAAATAACTGCTACTATGAATTTGGTGTTCATCCTGTTGTGCTAATGAGGTATGGCAACTTGAACCGATGCATATATGAGCCCGGTCCTACGTTGTAACCGAACGACTGATTACCTTATAATCCTAACATCGACATCAGCCAAAACCACGATATCAAAGCTATGACATAAATCTAGATCACTGTGTCCTTTTATTCGGTTTTATCACCGCCAAAAAATGCTTATTATGCTGTTTAAAGTTAATTAATTCACAATACAGTCAATGAGCAACAAATCTCTAGAATGATGTATTTTACCGTTAACTGACTACATGATGTTTAGATATGTTCCGTGATCCAGAAGCTATTTGCACGTTCGTCAGCGACCGAAGTCAGCCGGCTAATAACATAACTTATTGCCAGGCTAGTCTTAACAATAACTAGCGAGTTATTAAAATGCTATACGTCTCATAACTACACCTTTAACATACCATTCTGTCTCAGTCTAATACACATATAGCCTGTCTCGCAGAGTTACCTCGATAGAATGAGGGGCCATGCTTAATTGTTACTTATTAACTCTAATACAGATTCAACCTAACAAGTACACATGTATTTTGATGATGTGATAGCGCTTCTTATTCTGATGAAAAAGAAAGCTCTAACTACGTAAATGAGAACAATAAATACCGATAGTGACCATAAATGACATAAATAAGAGAAGACATTAACAAGACAAAAAACTACTTTTGGAGTTCAGTTTCCAAAAGGCGACCAGTCAAAGCAATATGGGCTTGCACAGTCCCAAAAGTATGACCTTGAGGGAGACTTAAATTATGAAGCCCGCACGATTACCGTTAGCAAAAAGTCATTTCAAACTACAATACACTAACTTTCATGGAATGGATAACGTTTACAGGCTCTCAGAATCAATAACGTGTTATTCTTATTCTCAATCACAAACTGAAATCTTTTAAGTATTTAAAATGGTTCATTTTTACGTTACTTTTCGGGTTCAAAATATTTCAAATGTTTGTGAACGAAATGGAAGAAGCCTTCACTTGCTGGAATTCCGTGACTCGGGGGTATCACTGAATTCAGATATAGACCTAAGTGGAAAAATAGAAATGTCAGCCAAATCAAATGAAATATCGTCCTGAGTCCTTAAGAACTTCACGATTTCACGGATGTTCAGGGCTTGTTAACACGTTTGTCTGTAACGACTTTGTGATCAAAAGATCTCAAGCACAGTCAAACTAGAAGTCAATAATGAAGCAGGTTGAAAATATTTTTTCCGACGTTGAGTGGTATTTTATCCTAATCGGCTCGTTCTTGGGAGGGATGCGTAGACGGGTGTACCCAATGGTGATTTGACGCAGATGCATGACCGAGAAACTTCAGCTGGTTTCTGTTTAGTAAAGTTGATGTGTAAAGTGTGATAGATAACCGAACTCACCAATGATAAAGTGAAACGCCCACCACCACATTAACTTTCTTTTACCTTGTATGACTGTTTTGTTTATTCACCAATCACCATTTTATGTTCATTATAAAACAATAATTGCCTTGTTGACTCATTTTTTCTATCCTCTATTTACTGTTCGGTATGTTATTTATGTCTCTGTTTTTCCCTGTGTTGATAGACTGTACCGTTTGTTTTGTACACCAACGGTGTTAATTTATGTTTTAGAAACAGATAAAGTTTATCAAACCAAATAGCTTACTTGTTCTGACTTTGGCTAAAGCAAGACTCTGTGCTCGACAGTCTAGAGAATAGCTTAGAGTTACACCTGTAGGAAATTGCTACCCAAATGATGTGATCAAGACCAACTGCAAGAACTTACAGAACTATCTATTTCGCTGATTTGTTTACCTCTACAAATGTATATATGATGGGGTAATTAGAATGTTTAGGTAAGATTATGGTTGGAGGTAGTCAACAGGAAACAGTGAATCTATATTTCGTGCTACTTGACACTCGTCAGCAAGGTGTACTTGTAATCTTGAGCTATCCGGGAGGCGGCTGATCTCCTGTAGGACTGAGATGTAGAGCTTTAATGTCCGATATTCATGGCCTAAACCTATCCTGTACATACCTTTTATTGTTATAACGCTCGCAAAAGCTTTAAAAAAATACATTTAGAACCCACTCCTATTAAATAACTTACGCACCCCAAATCATTCCACATAGCATGTGGTTTCTAACCAAGTATTTGTCTTGCCCGTACTTCTTCCGATTATGAATCTTACAATTTCATTTAATACATAGACTTGTCCAAGTAAACACTTCGCATCAGTCGTCTCTACATTGATAATGTTGTTATTTCACAAACAATCGTAAGTCACCATGATATAATTTCAAACGAAGTATTTCCCAAAACCCGGCAACTTGTGGATTATTATTATTATTATAGAACCAGAGGAATATTTATTTAAAAGAGTATTTTTTGTTTTTTGTGTTTTGTCATGATGAGAATTTTTGATTTTATTTGTGGTTACTTGATACCTAATATTTTGAGCTTATCGTTGAGACACGTGAATGATTGACTTCATTATAGGCTATAAGAAATCAAGCTATTTCACATCAACCGTCCCTTCGCAGTCAAGAGTATTGGCCCATCTCTCCACCTCACACTGCAGATGGGTTATGAAATACCGGCATTTCCTGAAACCTTGTTGTTGGGATAAAAAGAATTTTATGGATAACAAGTAGTTACGTAAACCGTCGTATATCAAGGACTCTATGACATTTGAGGGCACTGAAAAAGTGCTAGGGCCTGGTAGTCTGAAGATTTATCGGCTTGGCGTTCCTCAACGACCAGCATGATGTGCGTCATCTGCTGTTTGCCGAGGACTATGTTTTGACTTATGGAATACGGGATTATCATACTAAGCAGTGTCACCAGATGTGAAGCCGTTTCTCTCCGTGCAGCAGAGCAAGCCATATTTGGTCTGAGAGTACTGTCCTTGTTGTGATTCTGATGTTTCAGACAAACCAATCTTGTCCGTAGGCTAATTTTTGAACTTTCCGATCGGTCGAGCGTGAAGCTTGAGTCAATATGTGTTATACGCGAGGGTTATGCAATCAGTTCATGACCGCTGTTGGTTGGACAGTTGTTATATAGCAACTGAAAACTCCGTCTTTTGTTTGTCGAAGAGAAATCGCAAAACGGAATTAACTTTTCATACAGGATACAAATTTCCCAAATGAATTGGTTTGATAATGAAGCCTATCTTTACTGAGATCCTTTGTGAATCTGTCCGTTGTTCGAAGTCTACATGTACTTGTACCCGTTCTATTTGTCTGAATTTGCCTTACGTGAGTGAACAGGGAACCTGTAGTGACATCGTTCGTAACCACACAATCATCAAAGCTGAACACGAGATAACTGAGAAAGTAGATGTTCAACGGAAAAAAGTCAACTATGTAAAACGCGGAGCCAATGAATTGAATTGAATCGAATGGCATGGCTCAAACTTTCAGGCGTGGTCAGTGTTGTGTAACTTATCTTCTTTATTCATAGTAAATTCATCGTTCAATCTTCAGCCTAAATGTGTTCTTTAGAAGCGCTATACATTATATTGCTGATTCCTATGATACGACGAGTCAGAATAGACAGTGACGTGGCTTTCACGTAAGATCTCATACATTAGGTAGTCACACAATGATGAATCTACAATTTTAAAATTAGGCCTATAATTATAACGGTACTAATAACGAACTGGACCGTAATTCTACAAACCTGAATAAACGAATTTTTCCGAGTGTGTGATCCCGGTCCTTCCCATGTTTTATTTCTGCTCTGGGCTGTTCAAAGGCGCAAGCGTCTGTCTCAACACACTTCGATGCTTAATCTTCGCTTGATGCATCCTGTCCGCATCCATATGGATTTCTGTAGCTTAGGGATATTTTTCACTACGAAATGTACCAAGAACGGTAACCCTGATTGAGGAAGAAGACTAGGTTACATTAATCGGACGGGCTCAAAAATATCCGTCTATCTTAGTTGATTGATTGAATCGTTTTACTGATATATCATTGAGTTTGAAGAGCTACTTTCAGAACTTCTATTTTTTGAGGTTGTGTTGTTAGGGTTCGTGTTCCTGTGCAGTTATTCCTTTATCAAAAGAACGTCTGGTGAAATTGTTTGAGGTTGTCGTAGATGAGATGACACTCGAGCAGTTTCTTCACGCACCCACATCATATTTCAGCAGTTGACAAGGCAGCAAGAAATCCTCCACATAAGCAGTTTTAGCTAACATTACATGGTGTTTCGGATGATTTGAATGTTTATGTTCTCATGCCGGGTAAGTTGTGAGACAGTTAGTGGCTCCATTTTTTGGAAGTTTGCACTTCCTATTTAGATTTCTCCACAGAGACATTTATTTTTCGTTTTGCAAACTAAGAGCAAGGTGAGAACAGTCTTCGAGGTTCATGTTTACGAAAAATTATCACGAGCATTCATTTGTATCCAAGGTTTTCACGTAAGACAAGTTTATGGTTCTTCCTGTTTGGGAGTGGAATAGTGGTCCCTATTTCCATGCTTTTCGCTGACTGGCAGAAGGATCTTAACATTAGATTATGCAACTAGTGCATTTACAAGATATTGGCTTTTGAGCACTTTCGAAAGTGAACTTTCGTTGCTTTTAGCCTCGTTCACTAAAGTCCAGTCGCCAGCAGCATAGTTGTAGGGGACCCCAGTTGCATTTGAAGAAACTATACCGTGTAATATGAGCTTAATAGGAGCCTAACACCCTCGACGATATCCTAATACGTGTTGGTTGTTGATCCATCAATACCAATATCGTCGAAGACCCTCTTCTTTATACCACCGCCCGCCTTTTTTCTGTTATCCTCCTCGGAACTGCTTTTACCAAAGTTGCTGATAGTTTTCCTGCCAGCATAGGAATAGTAAGCTGTATAACAGTGGCCAATAAGTTAAATGAATGCTTCTAATAAGAAACATGTAAGTATGTATAATATAGTTACTTAACAGCCCTGCGCTAAGAATATATATAATAAGAGTCCATAAGTATTTTCCAGAAGTTACCCGTGATTTAATTCTCTTAGGATACACGAGCATGCAAATCAGAATCGGCTTTGTCAGAGTGGTCGAAGGCACTGTTTTGAAATTAAAATCAGATGCGGAAAAAAATACAACGAAAATATCAACTAGTACAAATACGACAAATACCTAGCACCAAAGAATTATTTCAAAATATCCCAAAATCTATGATTATGTTACTATTCTTACTTTAACAAACACAGGCATAACCATTTATCTTTAGCTTTGATCTATCAGCAAATCTTATTTGTACATTTTTGCAAATTTTCCGAATATAGTGCCACTAATCTACAAAAAATCAGCTTGAATTCAGTGTGTTGTTTGGAAAGTGAGTTACTTACTTACTTACGCCTGTTACACCTGATGAAGCATAGGCCGCCGACCAGCATTCTCCAACCCACTCTGTCCTGGGCATTCTTTTCTAGTACCTTCCTATTCCTGTTCATTTTTCTCATGTCTATCTCCATTTCCCGGAGTAATATGTTCTTTCGTCTTCCGCTTTCCCCTTGGCTTTGAGCATCCCATGTGAGGGCCTGTCTTGTGATACAGTTGGGTGCTTTCCTCAATATGTGTCCCATCCACTTCCAGTACTTCTACCTGATTTCTTCCTACGCTACAATCTGGTCTGTCCTCTCTCACCGTCTTCATCAATGATGATGCCCAAATATGTAGAGTTTTTGACATCTTCCAGATCTTCTCCGTCAATTGTGATTGGATTGGTGCATGTTGCGTTGTATCGGAAAACCTTGCTTTTCCCTTTGTGTAGATTGAGACCTACTCCTGTTGAGGG